GAGACCCTCACTCACAAAACAAGGCATCTGGGGACTAATCACTCCTTCACATCCTTGTAAGGAACTCTTGAATCCCCCAGTCTTCAGTCCTTCCGTAACATTTCACAAATTCTCTCCAAAAAGATCTTGTGAGCATCACAGAAAGAGCTTTTGTTTCACTACCAGTTAAATTTGAAATGAGATGAAATGCAGTCGTAAAATTATTCCACAAATGGAGTAACACTGGCTACAGCTGGAGCACAGAATAAGCAATCAGACCTGCTCTGTGTCCTCCAGATGATTACACCAGAAATGGCGACAAGGGTCCCTACTGCACCGCAAACTACACATGTCAGCTCTAAGGGGATGGTTATCAAGGTAACGATGTAAGGCGGCCAGCAGTTCAATAACGCCCACACTGCCCACACTCTCTGAATCTAACATCTGGGAAGCGGGGGTGGGGGGGTGTCAACAAAATAAGAGGAAAGGAAAAAAGAAAATGCCTGGTCACAGAAGTCTTGCCAGGGCTTGGGGGTCTGCTCCGACTCACGTGAGCCCTCTGCCCAGCTCAAATGAAGGTACTGGAAATGAAAAGCACAAGAAGCTAGAACAGAATAAAATGAATTTCTTAGAAACCAACTGCCCAGCTCTCGTGCAGCAGAAAAGGCCCCAAGCCAGCAGCCGCCTCACCTTGGATTATTAGAAGCTGGTGGTTCAGATACCGAATCTGGCGCTCACTGTCGTTCAGCTTTTCAACTAAGCTGTCCAGTTGTCTCTCCTTCGCTTTGTTAAGAACCTGGAGTTGAATAATATGTATATTTTCTGCAGAGTCTGCTTTGGAATTAGAGACAATTTATTAGATAAAAACACACTAAAATATAAGTCTGTGATCAGCTAGGGTAGTGTATTTCAAGCTCTTTAAACAACTTGGTGAATTATCATGAAACTAATTCAGTGGATTACAACTAACATCCTTTTGAATATGAAGACAGATTATACAGAATGTATCAGAGAGCATCGTGTAGTGAGAATACGCATTTACATGAATGGACTACCACAGGACAAACTCCACACTTTCCTAGGGGTCACCACCAGGAAAGGAGGCATGCCTCTGGGTTCAGGTTAAACACTGACTCACTATCAGTGCAGACAACTAACACGGAGCTGCGACAGAGAAAAGTGCTCTCGTCAAACCAGGGCAAGACACAAGCGCAGGAGCTGCTGTCACACTGTCTGAAGAGGACACGGCCAGGTACACGTGTCAAAGCATCCTTCAGCAGAAGGGTAAATACACTGGGTTATGTTTACACTGGCATATGATGGCTATACTCCTTAACTAATAAAGAGAGGAGTGAACGCTGACATCTTCATCAGAAACAAAGTTATTGTAGAAAATGTTTAGATTGGAGGGAGAAGAAAAATGACTGGTATAAAAAGAATAACACTTCATTTCCATAATGATATTCTTCATTTCCCACTAGGCATATGCTTCTAGAAACTTATGATCAGTAAATACATATAAAAATTTTTAATATTTATTAACAGAATAATTTGAACTCTTTTCTAAATTAAATTTAAAAAAAAAAAGAAACTTAAGGCCAGGCATGGTGCTATAAGCCTTTAATCCTATCATTCAGGCAAAGGCAGACAGGTGTCTGTGAGTTCAAGGTCACCCTGGTCTACACATCGAGTTCCAACCAGGGCTTCATACTGAGACCCTGTCTTAAAAAAAGAAAAAGAAAAAATCTGAGTATTGAAAGCATCTCTCTGGCCTTACAGAAGGTGGGGGCAGAAATGTACTGTCTCAAAGCTCTCTCTCTCCAAATTCACCTGTTTTTATTAATTTTAAACTTTACTATAAAAAAAAATAATTTGCAAATAAAAAGATTACACACCAAAATTAACCAGGCCCAAAGTCTTTACAGTTCAACGAACTTCTAAACAGAGTAGCCATTCAAAACAGAAGCTGTGGAACTTCACATTGGATTTTACAATTCACTATCAAATATATTTTATGCATTTATTCACCATTGAAAACAAAAACCCCAAGAGTTAGAACTAGAAAAGCAGTTAGTTTATGGCCTTCTCCTAGCTTCCCCTCATCACCTGCAGTCAGTCCTAGTTCCTCTCCCAACACTTCACCCCTCCTCTTCTCTTTCCATCATGTTTCACTGCACCCACACATGCGTGTGTTTACACATGTGCCTGTGTTACCGGCTAGGTTCCCACAGGCACGAGAACATGCAGGGTTTCTGCCTGAGGTTGTGCGGCCTCGATTGACCTCATTCTTTAACTGTTGTTGCTGGGAAACTTGGCACTACCATTAAGTTACTCAACTAACTTCTAAATGTCAACTTAAAAAAAAATGTATAATCACCTTAGAAATAAAGTAACAATGCAGATTTTTAAGAACAGTAAGGAGAGACATAAAGCATGTCACTACCAGAGAACCTGAGGGAGCAGATGCGGGCGTGGCTGTTGACAACTGCCACTCCATCTCAAACCACCCCAGCCACATGCTAGTTCTACTTCTCTGTGGCATTCAAATCGAGAGAAGACGCTCCCACACTTGCTGCTGAGCCTTCAAGACAAATGCGCTCTGGGGCTCCCTACAGCTATCCTGTGGCCCTAACAAGCCTAAAGCAACACTCTGCGTCCAAACAGAGAAGGCCAGTTTTCTCGAGGACCTGGACCTAGCCCACACATCCAATAGTATATAGGACAACTTCTCCAACCACTCTAGAATCATACTGGCTCATCAATATACACAATAATTCAAAGTTAATTTAATTCTCCAGGAGCACAAGGATAAAAGCTTCCATCTATGAAAATACCAAGGCTAGTCACTGCATAGCTTTTTTGTTTGTTTTTAAACAAGCATTTCATCTCAAAATCCTCTAGTGGCTTTAAGTGTTTTCCTTATGATGATTTTTTTTTTAAAGATTTATTTATTTATTA